GGGGGAGAGGGAGAGAGAGAGAGAGAGAGAGAGAGAGAGAGAGAGAGAGATGTACCATGTAGATATTGAAGGCGTCAGTATCATCGCGGAACGCTTGAGTCGGCGATAGTTGTGGACGTTGAGCATCTGGAATTTCCCTCGCGTATGTGACTATGCAGTACACCAGAATGGTACGGGAGGTCACAGCAGCAGCATATTATCGTGCGGGAGTGCCGAGTGCTGATAACCAAATTGAGTCTTCGCCGCGAATATTAGAGTAGAGTCGCGTCCATATGAATTGCATGTTTCTGGCGTTAGCTTGTAGTGTTCACCTTGGGCGCCAGGAACTTCTTTTCACGCCCAGATTGTTGATATTGATGCGTGTGTAGAAAACGAGGAGAGGGTGCTTTTCGCCTATGATATTGGTATTGATTCGTGCAGGTGCTGTCACGTCCACAGCGCTTATCCTGCAGCTGACCCCGGTCAGTTCCCCACCCCAGCGAATTTCGAGTCGTTCGCTCTTGTTGTATCGCTTCCTTCGTGGGAGCATGCCATGTTTGGTGGGGTTTCCGAGGCAGTAATACGCGTCTGCTCGTTATTGTGGTCAAATCGAAAATACATGTCTTACATTGATTCGACGTGGACGTCCCAGACCGGACTGGGTTTGTTGTCATACATTTATGTTTGATGCTCCCAGAGCGGAAGTAGCCCTCGAGCTAACGCGCACATTCTCGCGATCAGATCGTCAGTCAAAAACTCGAATTTCGTGTGAAGGCCAGGGATGTGGTAGTGTTAATAACGCGACTTTCTTGGACTGGCATTGGGCATATTGAGGTCTAGTATGTGGCACCCTGGTTGGGGGGTGTACTCATAGTCGTGCGTGCCGTAGTCGTTAGACCATTCACCTCGCATCCCTACAAAGCCGGGACGGAGCACGCCGGGTTCTCACCGGACCAGGCTCTCACATCACCAAGCGCGAAGCGCCGTGAGNCGATCATCCCCCTAGCGTGGAGTGGGGGTTCTCCACCCCGTACAACATGATCTACTCGACCACCAGTATGGTTACCGCCAAAAAAAAAAC